TATGCTAAGTGAAATAAATCAATCGGGGAAAGACAATTGTCATATGGTTTCACTCATATGTGGAATATAAGAAACAGTGCAGAGGACTGTAAGGAGAGGGAGGGAAAACTGAATGGGAAGAAATCAGAGAGGGAGACAAACCATGAGAGACTCTTAACTATGGGAAACAAACTGAGGGTTGCTGGAGGGGAGGTGTGTGGGGGGATGTGGTAACTGGGTGATGGGCATTAGGGAGGACACATGATGTGATGAGCCCTGGGTGTTATATGCAACTGATGAATTGTTGAACACTACATCTGAAACTAATGATGTACTATGTGTTGGCTAATTGAATTTAAAAAAAAGAATATACTAAAACTGTAAAGATAGATGGCAGAATGACAGTTGCCTTTGAAGGGGAGGGAGGTTAACCAGAAATGGGTATCAGGGATCTTTCTGGGGTGATGACATGCTCTATATCTTGATAGGGGTTTGGATGATATAGCTGTAAACATTTGCTAAACTCATTAAGCTGTACACATAAAAAAAAAACACTTCTATCTACATGAAAGAAAAAAAAAGATAGATGCTATTTACTGAGACAAGAAACCCTGGCACAGGACACGTTTTGGCATATAGACTTTGAGATGCCTATTCGTTAGCTAAGTGGAGTTCTCAATTAAGCGACTGGGTTTCTTGATTTTGCCACATTTTGTTAACTCTAAGATATATACTTTCATATTTTAGTGTTTCCAAAATTAAGCTATGTCTTATAATCAATGGTATGCCATAGTTAAATTTCTAGTCCTTTATATTTCTTAGTGGTGTGTAAATTGATGGGGACCTCAACATCTGTAATGTCTTAGATCCAACAAAATATTGTTAATGATAATAATAATAATAACAAAGAAGACCACCATAACACCAATTAGTAGCCCACAAATGACCAATTAACAAAAACTTCTGATCAGCATCCAGTAGGAACCACTGACCCTTAGAGCATCCAAAACAGTGTAGGAGTGACCAGAAAAAGCAATGGTTTCAAGACAACTGACTTTTCTTCCAGCCACCCACAAGCAAGCAAGATGGAGGAAGAGACAGGAGACTGCTGTCATTATCTTAATAGGATAGAGGCTATACCAACATCTGTTAAATGGAGGTCATCATAATGACAGTAATAACTAATGCTTAAATACTACTGGCTATAGGCTAGATGTTCCTCTAAAGACTAGATATTCTTCTAAAGACTTTACTTACATTAACCCATGTAGTCCCCATAACAACACTATAATGTAGACAGATTTACTATGATACTGAGCTGGAAAGAGGTTAGCTAACTTGCTTCAGGTCACACAGCTCATAAATGGCAGATCCAGATTCACACCCAAGCTGTTCAGCTCCAGAGCCTCTGCTATCAACCACTGCTATCTCTACCGAAGATAATTAACTACTTGGTGACCTGGGAGCAATAGACTTACAGAAATTTTGTGTGGGCTTTTGCCACGGAAACAGACCTAGGACATACACATACTACACACACGGCTTGGGGAGGAAGGAGTACGGAAGAGCTCTTGTTCTGAGTTCTGAGAACAGTACCACTACATCTGAATCCAATGTGGCAATACTGGATAGCAGTGCAGTAAAAGGAAGGTACTCCATAGATAACAAAAATTATCAATATCAGCAAACAAAGTTAAATTCCTGCTTTCAATCTTGGGATGTCATATGTAATAAAATAAAAAGATAACATGTTTTATAAGCTGTAGGCTTTCTAAAATTAAAAGTGTTTATCTCTAATCAACTTTGATATTATGAAGGAAGGTACAATCATTCAATAATCATAATGCCTCGTTTATATAAGCTCCAAGCCTCCGTTTGTGTTACCTGATGGCAAATGGTGACATTAGCAGGACTCTGAGCTAGAAACCTTCAACGTGGGTCTGTTGTTAGAGTTCGCACTGTGTCTTATTATCCTAGCAAGTGCAACATTCCATTGACTTCATGTGTTTCTGCTTAGTCTTCAATCAGAATATGCCGGTAAGAAAAAGTGGCGGTTATACATTTACCACTGTTGAGATTTTAGTTTAAGGCATTTACTTTGCCTGAAATTGGAAATGTTTGTTTTTAGGATAATACAGTACTTTATTGAAATTAACAAGCATAATCCTATCAAATAATGTTACTAAACATCCTTTTTTAAACTAAAGGAGTTAGAAAGATATAAATGTTGGGGAGGGGAGAAACCTTAAGTGCAATTCTATCTTTTCACAATAAATAGCCACAGTTATTGCTAGTTTTTCCTACTTTAATTTTCTTTATGGTTTCAAAGACAGAGACTCTGATCTATTTTGTTTCCTTATCTTGTGTGTCATGGAAAACTTCAGCATTGTATTTTATTTAGCTGTGTGATTTCTCATGATGCAGTGCTGCATCCCTAGCCTCCCTTACAAACTCGGAAGGTAACCCCCTGCCTGAGGAGCTCCCCTCTTCAACTTCTTGAAGAAGTATGACTGAGTGAAAAAGTAAGGCAGGTTCATGCTTCAGCATTGCTTTATAATAGTTCCAGCTTCCTCTCTGCTCTTGACAGATGATGTTGGCAGGTGTTGACATAGATATCACCTATATAATTCTACTATATGTAATCTTTTTTAAAAAAAATCTATATGTAATCTGTTCACATATGTGAGGAAGAGTTTTTGTTTATTTTGTTTGTTTGTTAGTTACAAGGGCACAATTTTGAAATTTCCCTTTTAAAAGGAGGCAGAAAATTCCCTAATATATGGGTATAATTGAAAGATGCAATAACATATTGTTTATTATTTTCTAACTCTCTCATCATTTCTATTATCAAAATAATACTAGATGAAAATTGATAAGACATTTATCTAGTACATATAACATGGTACCCTATAAATGCTTCATATATATCTTATGTCACTTAAAGATTAGGATTATTCTAACAACAATTTTATGAGAACAATATTATCACCTGAAGGTAAACTGATTTGTCTAATATTTCACAGCCTGTTAATGGTGATTTGAACATTAGGACCCAGGTCTGTCTATGTCAACTGGGTGGGTCTAATTAGGAAGTAGAAACTACACGGTAATTTGAGCAGGAAGAACTTAATGTAAAGAATTATTAATTATGATCTGCTACTAAGGGGTAAAAATAACTCTAAAAATTGAGAAGAGCACATATAGGGAGTGGCTGGTACTCCTGGGTTTGAGGCAGAGCACCTAAGGAAAGGACAAAAAAAATTTTTAAAAGATTTTTACTTATTTATTTGTCAGAGAGAGGAAAAGCACAAGCAGGGGGAGTGGCAAGCAGAGCAGGCAGAGGAAGAAGCAGACTCCGTGCTGAGCAAGAAGCCCGATGCGGGACTCAATCCCAGAACCCTGGGATCATGACCTGAGCTGAGGGCAGACACTTAACCAACTGAGCCACCCAGGCATCCCAGAAAGAACAAATTTTAAAGAAGACCTTCTATCCCCACCCCACTCCCACCACCGTGGAGCCACATCTTGGAGAGGGCATAGCTGTGGCCCAGCGAATGGCAGAAAAGTTCACTGAGGTAGCAGGCTAGGGCAACTCATGGGAAAGCCACTTTCTGGGATTCTTGGGGAACTGTCCATAGCGAGGTGTCACACTGTGGAAGGTGCTGCACTATGAACTTGGTAGGAAGCTCCCAGTGTGTATTCATGTAGTGGGGGGTGGTTCCAGGAGACACCGCCCCCCCAGAAAGTGCCCTACACTGCTGGCTACTGTGCACTATAAGAGCCAACAGAAAGAAGTACCCAGAAGCAGGAAGAGCCCCTTCATCATCTAGTTCCCTTCTTGGCTCTCTATGGAAGATGCTTAAAATTGTGCCTTATGGCAAAAAAGTGTTCTAGTCTCACAAGCAGGACAGTGGCAGGTGGATTAGGAATGAGGTAATAGATTGACACCTGGCACACAGCCCACCAACAAATCTACTTTCTTAATCATTTAAGCATTATGTCATATACTTACTATACCACAAAATATGCTATTTAACAAAAAAAGGAATATAAGAAAGGAAGGAAAGAAAGAAAATGTAACAGGGTTATAAATGAAGATTTACATCAGTATTTCTTTTTTCTTTGAAATGTTTCTAGGTAGATTCACTTTGAATTCATTCCTCAGGAGATTGTCTTATTGAATTTTAGGCACTGGCTTATCAACCAAAAACTGAAGTTGTGAAGTAGAGGCCCAGGGTCCATAACCAGATTTTTCACTCGACAGTTCAAATTAATTTTAAATTCTAGTTTCCTCATCTACTAGTTAATGCAGGTTATGTTTGGTTGACAATCATTTGTTTGCAAATCAGAGCTTCCTCAGATAATCCAAAGCCTAATTGCATCATTTATAGACTGCAAGATTTAGGCAAGTTATTTAATTTCTCTGGGCCTCAAATTCTTTATGTAAAATGGAAATAATAATAGGATATGCCTTATAGCTGTTTTATGAAAATTAATTGTATTAATGTAAAAGCATTTGGAACAATTCCTTGCATATAGTAAGTGGTATATAAGTATTTGTATATGTATCATTATATTTTCCTATAGACCATAGCTTAGAAATATTAATTTAGTCATTCCACTTTGGGGAAATCTATGTTTAGTCCACACTTTTATCAGATTAATCTGATTTCATTGTTTACTGGCAATTAAAAATATATATGGTTATGTTATGTATAATATGAATGCTGTTCATTGGTTACCTTACTTTTTACTATACCTAATAACAGTACTGCTTTAAACTTACAGTGTTTGAAGAGGATATTTGTAAATCCCTTACTCCTTAATTTTTGCTAGGAATTATCTGAACAGTAAGATTGTTGGTGAAGTACCTTTGGCTAAAGAAAACCCACGTTGTCAACATAGCCATCAGCATTCAAATTATTAAATAGTTTTTAATGTTGGCATCACTTACAAGAAACACATTAGACAAAAATATCTAAAATTTAAAAATTTTTTAATATTCTCTTTTTTTTTAACAGAAGACCATGAGAAATATTCTGAACTCATCAAGAAGTTCAATGCGATTGAAATGCTATTTACACTCTACCCTCCTCAAGGTGCCCATGTGCATAATAATATACGACTTAGGTCAACTTGGCTGAGACCGATAGTAGATGGTGAAGAAGGTTATCGATATATAGGTAGGATGCTGAATCTTATTATTTCTTTTTATAATGTAGAAGAAATGACTCTTTTTAGAACTCTTATTTGTCACTTAGATAATGTAGGGTAATACATAGACCCTATAGAGTACTCATTTCAGTTCTTAAGTATTATGCCTGCAATTTAAAAAGTGGCTGTTTTAGCACGGAAGACCATAGTGGAAGGGAGGGAAAGTTGAATGGGAAGAAATCAGAGAGGGAAACAAACCATGAGAGACACTGGACTCCAGGAACCAAACTGAGGGTTACAGAAGGGGGATGGGCGGGGGAATGGGGTAACTGGGTGAGGGGCATTATTAAGGAGGGCACGTGTGGTGATGAGCTCTGGGTGTTATATGCAACTAATGAATCCTTGAACACTACATCAAAAACTAATGATGTACTATATGCTGGCTAATTGAACATAAAATAATAACAAACAAAAAAATGCCTATTTTACACTTTGGTGCCTCCTCGAGAATAGTGGAAACGCACTGTGTTTTTTCATTTGCCTGATGATAGACACTTGTGTTACTTTTAAAAATGTGATACTATAAGGAAAGTTACTATGAACATTCCTGCACAGGACTGTGTCTAGACAAATACTTGCATTTTTGTGTTACTTTTAAAAATGTGATACTATAAGGAAAGTTACTATGAACATTCCTGCACAGGACTGTGTCTAGACAAATACTTGCATTTCTCTTAACTAAACTGTTTTCAAAGGAGTTCTGTCATTTCATATTCCCCATCAGCAGAGATCTGAGAGCTGCATTCGCTCTACAGCTACATCAGTACTTGGCGTAATCAGTTTTTCTAATTTTAACCTTTCTAATAGATATGTATTGGTATTTCATTGTGGTTTTCATTCACATTTTTCTAGTAGATAATGATATTCAACGTGTTTTCATGTATTTGTCATTGTATGTCATCACTGGTGAAGTGTCTGTTCAAATCTTTTGACCATTTTTTAATACATATTTTTTTATTTGTCAGTGTTGAAAGTCCTTTAGATATTCTGAATATAAATCCTTTAACATATATTCTCTGAAAATATTTTCTCCTAGTCTCTGTCTTATCTTTTCTATCTTTTAATAATGCCTTTTGAAGAGAAGTTTTTAATTTTGATGAAGTCCAGTTTACCCCTGTATTCTTTATGTTTTTTCTGTGATAGTCAAGATATATCAGTCAGACTTCTAGTCACAAGGTTTTCTTCTAGAAATTTTATACTTTTGGGTTTTATATTTCAGTGTATAATCTATCCTGAGTTATTCTCTTTTTGTACTTGGCTTAAGGTATAGGTTGAAGTTGTTTTGTTTTGTTTTTAATTTAACGTGTTGATATCCAAATGTGCTAGTGCTATTTGTTGAAAAGACTATCTTTCTATGAATTAACTTTGTATTTTGGCAAAAACAAATAGACTAAGATATATAGATGGCAAATAAGCACATGAAAAGATGATCAATATCATTAGTCATTAGGGAAATATAAATTAAAGCCACAATGGGAATACTCAACTATTAGAAAGACTAAAATAAAATTTGAAAATATAACAATGCCAAGTCTGGCAAGGATGTAGAGCAACTAAAACACTCATTCATCGCTGGTGGAAATGCAAAATGATGCAATCAATTTGTAAATATTTTGGTTCTTTCTTATAAAGTTAAGTTACTCTAACCATAAACCCAGCCATCTTACTCCTGGGTAATTGCCCAAGAGAAATGAAAGTGTCTGTTTACCAAAAACTTATATATAAGTGTATATAGTTGCTTTAGTCCTAATTGCCAAAAGCTGGAAACAACATAAATGTTCTTCAACTGGTAAGTGGATAAACAAAATTTGTTACCTCTACACAATGAATTATTTTCAGCTATAAAAGGGAATGAACTATTGATGTACACAACAACATGAATTTCAGATGCATCATGTTAAGTGAAAGAAGCCAAATTCATAGGCTTTATATAGATTCTACTTAAATGACACTTTGGAAAAAGCAAACTATAGGGACAGAGATCAGTCCAGTGTTTTGCAGGGCTTACAGCTGGTAGGAGGGTTAGATTACAAAGAGGCAGCATGAAGGAGTTCATAGGGTGATGGAATTATTCTGTCTCTTGATCATGATAGTGGTTATATGGCTCTAAAAATTAGTCACAATGAACTGTATACCAAAAGAGTGAATTTTACTGTAAATAAAATTTTAGAAATAAACACAAAATAAAAGAAGAAAAGAATTTATATGAATGACAAACAAGTCCAAAAAGATGTGCATCATTATTACTTATTAGGGGAATGTAAATTAAAACACAATGGAATATAACTACTTACTATAATGGCTAAAATTAAAAATTGAACATACCAAGTGTTGACAGGGATGGGTAGCAACTTTACCACTAATACTCTGCCATTGCAAATATAAAATGGTAAAAACGCTTTGCAAAATAGTTTGATGTTTTCTTAAAAAGTTAAACATTTATTTTATGACCCCACCATACCACTCCTAGATATTTACCCAAGACAAAAGAATGTATATTTACATATAAAGACTTGTACATGAATGTTCATAGATCTCTTTTTTTATGAAAGACTCAAACTAGAAACAAGTCAAATGACTATCTACAGATGAAAGGATAAACAAATTGTGATATATACATCAGAATACTTCTAACTCAGCAATATAAAAGAACTATTGACAGTATTGATACAGGTAACATGACTGAATTTCAAAAAAATCATGTTGAGTGAAAGAAATCAGACAAAAAAAGAGGACAAGAGTATGATTCCATTTATAAAAAAGTCTAGAGAATGCAAACTAAACCTTGCGACAGAAGCAAATCTGTGTTTACCTGGGATGGGGGTGGGAAGTGGAAGTGAAATGTAATGGGTTACAAAATTTGGGGGTGATGGAAATGTTTATTATCTTCATTGTGGTGATGGTTCCATGTACATATGCATATGTCAATATTCATCAAATTGTACACTTTAAATATGTGCAGTTTTCATTTATACTTCAATAAAACTATAAAAATAAAGTTGGAAACATAAATTTAAAGAACCAAGATACTGAAATTTGTATTTTGGTCATATTTTTGAGAAATGACTTCTCTTTAAGTTTTAAAACCAGCATTTTAGAACTTATCTACGGAGAGCCACAGATTTAGTGCACTCATTGGGCTAATGCATATGATGGCATACTTATGTGCTCTTTTCTGATAGAGAGTATAGAGGAAGAAAAGGAGAGAAAGAGAAGGAAAATTATGAAAAAGATAATTGAGGGTTTTAGGCTCTGTAAGATTAATCAAGACCCTGGTTGCGATTTATCTTCTTTTTGCTATTTTCCACCTGAACACTACCACGATGTGACCCATATAATTCTAAAAGACTTGTGTTCATTGTTTATATAGCCTATTTGTGAATACTTGGTACAAATAAAACAAACATAAAGGAAATATGCAAGAGGCAGTATGTCGTAAGGTAAAGACTCCATCTTCTGAGGTTTTATGCTTATCTTTTCCCTTTTTAGTAAGTGACCAAGGTCTTGCATCTTTTTGAATTACAGTTGTTATTAAATTGATAGACAGAATAGTTTGCAGCATTTGCCTTGAGAAAGATTAGTTTGCTTTCTGAAACTCAGTATCTGCTCCACTAGAAACATTTTAGGGAAGATAGCTCTGGGAATTTATTATATGTCCCAACATTAATAATACTCCACAATGTAAGCACTCCTGTTTATTGATTTCACTCTGTAGATTTAGAGAAGTATCATCAGCAAGAACTGAGGAGTAGTTAATAGAATTACTGAATGCTCTATAAATGGCATGGGTTGCTAACAAATTATGTAGTATTAGGACCATACATATTCTAAAAATATTCATTATATCCATGTTTTTACACCCCATAATTCCTATAACAGTGGTTTGAAAGTCACTGGAATGCAGCATAAGTCATGACTTCAAATTGCTTAATATATACAAACTATTTCTTCTGAATCATAATTTTATAATTTTTAGATCAATGAAGGAAAAACAAAGGCTTTACATTTTTCTCCAGGAACATAGGTTTTGTCAAACTTATTTTCAGAAAATAAGTTTAACAAGTCTTTTAGAAGGCTTGTATCTTTTGTTACCTTTCCTTATGAGCTGTCTGTCCTTCAGTTTCCTGGTATTATGGCCTGTCACAGACACGCTGAACTTGTTTTTCACCTTCATTAAGTGTTTGTGACTTTGGTGGATTCTCCACCTGGAAGCTGTAGATTATATTAAGGAACTCCTGGAATTCTAATGGGAATACCTTGAAAAGAGTAGGTTAGCCATTATCTTTTAAGAAAATCATTTAGAGAATACAAATGAATGATTAAATTACTTTCTCAAACCAATGGTGCATTCTTAAGTGGAATCATATTATTATATTAATGTAAGGTTTCTAATTAGTTCAGATCATGAATAATGAGCAAAGACCTCTAGTTCTACTGCTTCTTTTCCATGTATCATTTCCAGCTCTCCATATAGTAAATTTTACTTACCCTTATAACATATGGTTATTTAAGTTATGTAATTAATACTGGAACTGACTTCCTGTCCTAATCACTGTTTTGTTACCCATTATAAAAGTACAAGATATCTTTTATGCTATTCAGTTTATTCCACTGCCTTCAGGCAAGACCTGATGTACATTAACCAAATGAGAATCTCATCTTTAAAGACTCTGGCAATTACATAATTGTCCTTGACAGTCAGGTCTGATTTTTGATGATGATCTCTCTCAGAACTTTCTACTCTGCAACATTAGACTCTTTTCTTAGACATGCTTCATTACAGTTGTAACTTTTTCACTATCCACAAAATTAAGGCTATGCATAGATTAATAAGAATCTTTCTTTTTCAGTAATAAGTCTTTTAAAATATTATTCCTCACAAGTCCTCTTTCTAATCCTTAATGTCTTCTGGCTCTTCTCTCTAAACATTTTCCAAATTTTCTTGTTTCTTTTAAGTGACAGAACTCAGAAGAAGATATGATAATCCAATATATCTAATTTATTGTGAGTATAATCCAGCTTCTACATGTTCTGCTTATATCTTTGCACTTGTCTTAAACTTTTAAAATACACATCTCAGGGGCACCTGGGTGGCTTAATCGGTTAAGCATCAACTCTTGGTTTTGGCTCAGGTCATGATCTCATGGGTTGTGGGATCAAGCCCTGTGCACGGTTCTGCTCTCAGCGGGGAGTCTGCTTGACAATTGTTTCCCTCTGTCCCCACCCCCACCAAATAAATAAATCTTTAAAATACACATCTCAGCATTTGGATTTCTAGCCGTCATTATTCTCTCCTTGGGGGGGGGCCGTATTTCCTTTAATTATTGCTCTGTGTATAATTTATTTTGCCTTCTTAAATTTGGTATCCTGATTTGTCCTGATTATCCTTAACTTATTTAGGACATAGACACTTACTAAGTTTTGAACCTATTCTTCGAGGTGTTTTGTAAGATTAATTATTGAAAAATGAAAACCTCAAATAAATCCTTTTGAAGGGAGCTTCATATATTTTATATGACTTATATATGTGCCAGTACAGGAAATGGTCTCTTATAGTTTGGATAAGTTTTTTTTTTTATTGTTATGTTACTCACCATACATTAAATCATTAGTTTTGGATGTAGTGTTCCATGATTCATTGTTTGTGCATAACACCCAGTGCTCCATGCAGAACGTGCCCTCTTTAATACCCATCACCAGGCCAACCCATCCCCCCACCCCCCTCCCCTCTAGAAACCTCGGTTTGTTTTTCAGAGTCCATCGTCTCTAATGGTTCGTCTCCCCCTCCGACTTACTCCCCTTCATTCTTCCCCTCCTGCTATCTTCTTCTTTTTCTTTTTTCTTAACATATATTGCATTATTTGTTTCAGAAGTACAGATCTGTGATTCCACAGTCTTGCACAATTCACAGTGCTCACCATATCACATACCCTACCCACTGTCTATCACCCAGCCACCCCATCCCTCCCACCCTCCACCACTCCAGCAACCCTCAGTTTGTTTCCTGAGATTAAGAATTCCTCATATCAGTGAGGTCATATGATACATGTCTTTCTCTGATTGACTTATTTCACTCAGCATAACACCCTCCAGTTCCATCCACGTCGTTGCAAAGGCAAGATCTCATTCCTTTTGATGGCTGCATAATATTCCATTGTATATATATACCACTTCTTCTTTATCCATTCATCTGTCGATGGACATCTTGGGTCTTTCCACAGTTTGGCTATTGTGGACATTGTTGCTATAAACATTGGGGTGCACGTACCCCTTCGGATCCCTACATTTGTATCTTTGTGGTAAATACCCAGTAGTGCAATTGCTGGATCCTATGGTAGCTCTATTTTCAACTGTTTGAGCAACCTCCATACTGTTTTCCAGAGTGGCCGCACCAGCTTGCATTCCCACCGACAGTGTAGAGGGTTCCCCTTTCTCCGCATCCCCGCCAACATCTGTCATTTCCTGACTTGTTAATTTTAGCCATTCTGATGGGTGTGAGGTGGTATCTCATTGAGGTTTTGATTTGGATTTCCCTGATGCCGAGCAATGTTGAGCACTATTTCATGTGTCTGTTGGCCATTTGGATGTCTTCTTTGGAAAAATGTCTGTTCATGTCTTCTGCCCATTTCTTGATTGGATTATTTGTTCTTTGGGTGTTGAGTTTGATAAGTTCTTTATAGATTTTGGATACTAGCCCTTTATCTGATATGTCATTTGCAAACATTTTCTCCCATTCTGTCGGTTGTCTTTTGGTTTTGTGGACTGTTTCTTTTGCTGTGCAAAAGCTTTTTATCTTGATGAAATCCCAATAGTTCATTTTTGCCCTTGCTTCCCTTGCCTTTGGCGATGTTTCTAGAAAGAAGTTGCTGTGGCTGAGCTCGAAGAGGTTGTTGCCTGTGTTCTCCTTTAGGATTTTGATGGACTCCTGTCTCACGTTTAGGTCTTTCAACCATTTGGAGTCTATTTTTGTGTGTGGTGTAAGGAAATGGTCCAGTTTCATTCTTCTGCATGTGACTGTCCAATTTTCCCAACACCATTTGTTGAAGAGACTGTCTTTTTTCCATTGGACATTCTTTCTTGCTTTGTCAAAGATGAGTTGACCATAGAGTTGAGGGTCCATTTCTGGGCTCTCTATTCTGTTCCATTGATCTATGTGTCTGTTTTTGTGCCAGTACCATACTGTCTTGATGATGACAGCTTTGTAATAGAGCTGAAAGTCCGGAATTGTGATGCCACCAGCTTTGCTTTTCTTTTTCAAGATTCCTCTGGCTATTCGGGGTCTCTTCTGATTCCATACAAATTTTAGGATTCTTTGTTCCATTTCTTTGAAAAAAGTGGATGGTATTTTGATAGGGATTGCATTGAATGTGTAGATTGCTCTAGGTGGCATTGACATCCTCACAATGTTTGTTCTTCCAATCCATGAGCATGGAACGTTTTTCCATTTCTTTGTGTCTTCAGTTTCTTTCATGAGTATTTTATAGTTTTCTGAGTACAGATCCTTTGCCTCTTTGGTTAAATTTAGTCCTAGGTATCTTATGGTTTTGGGTGCAATTGTAAATGGGATCGACTCCTTGATTTGCCTCTCTTCTGTCTTGTTGGTGGTGTATAGGAATACCACTGATTTCTGTGCATGGATTTTATATCCTGCTACTTTACTGAATTCCTGTATGAGTTCTAGAAGTTTTGGGGTGGAGTCTTTTGGGTTTTCCACATACAGTATCATATCATCTGCAAAGAGTGAGAGTTTGACTTCCTCTTTGCTGATTTGGATGCCTTTGATTTCTTTTTGTTGTCTGATTGCTGTGGCTCGGACTTCTAATACTATGTTGAATAACAGTGGTGAGAGTGGACATCCCTGCCGCGTTCCTGACCTTAGGGGAAAAGCTCTCAGCTTTTCCCCATTGAGAAGATATTTGCTGTAGGTTTTTCATAGATGGCTTTTATGATATTGAGGTATGTACCCTCTATCCCTATACTCTGAAGAGTTTTGATCAAGAAAGGATGCTGTCCTTTGTCAAATGCTTTTTCTGCATCTATTGAGAGGATCATATGATTCTTGTTCTTTCTTTTGTTAATGTATTGTATCACGTTGATTGATTTGCGGATGTTGAACCAACCTTGCAGCCCAGGGATAAATCCCACTTGGTCATGGTGAATAATCCTTTTAATGTACTGTTGGATCCTACTGGCTAGTATTTTGGTGAGAATTTTTGCATCCTTGTTCATCAAGGATATTGGGCTGTAATTCTCCTTTTTGATGGGGTCTTTGTCTGGTTTGGGGATCAAGGTAATGATGGCCCCATAAAATGAGTTTGGAAGTTTTCCTTCCATTTCTATTTTTTGGAACAGTTTCAGGAGAATAGGTATTAATTCTTCTTGAAGTGTCTGATAGAATTCCCCTGGGAAGCCATCTGGCCCTGGGCTTTTGTTTGTTGGGAGATTTTTGATGACTGCTTCAATTTCCTTAGTGGTTATAGGTCTTTTCAGGTTTTCTATTTCTTCCTGGTTCAATTTTGGTAGTTGATACATCTCTAGGAATGCACCCATTTCTTCCAGGTTATCTAATTTGCTGGCATAGAGTTGCTCATAATATGTTCCTATAATTGTTTGTATTTCTTTGGTGTTGGTTGTGATCTCTCCTCTCTCATTCATGATTTTGTTGATTTGGGTCATTTCTCTTTTCTTTTTGATAAGTCTGGCCAGGGGTTTATCAATCTTGTTAATTCTTTCAAAGAACAAGCTCCTAGTTTTGT